CCTTGCAGTTTGTTGCAAGCCTAACAGCAGAACGAGATGGTGAAATTCGGAAGGCTACTTATAAGATCTTTGGTGAGTTCTGCTCTTATCAAGCTGTAGACTTTATTTGGTGTTTGGTTTCTTGGAATACACAAGGGCTTGAAGTTTTAAATCCTGCTTAATTTTTGATTGATTACTTCTAGGTCTTGTGTTTGTTTTAATCTTTTTTTCCATTAATTTTAACTTTGGAAAGAAATGCCAATGCTTACGGAAAATTATTTATTTAGTAGTTTTCTTAGAATGTTTATTGTATTCTTTAGTGTCAGCTGCTTAGGCTGTCTGATTCAATTTTTTCTTAGGTGATGACATATGGAGATATGTTAGAAAGCTGACAGCAGCTCAAAGGAGTGTGTTAGATGATAGATTTAAATGGAAGGTTGGTACATATTTGCAGTAATTGTTGTGTTTTAAGTGTTTCTGCTTCTTCCATTCATCATGCTGTGTAGATTTTGGGTTCTAATCTAAGGCTGTTTTACTTTTTAAGGCATTCAATTATAACAATGAAGGCTGCCAAGGGTAAGGGGGCACCAATCAGGGTCCCAAAGGAGGCGTTGAAGCCAGTTGACGACAGGTTTGCTAAGTTTGTGTAACATTTTGGTGGTTGTAGTTGCATCTTTGTGGGTTTTTTTTTGTTTGTTTTGTTTTTGGTGTTTACATTAATGTGAATGACTCTGTTTAATAAACTTCTTATCCAATTTTAGATGCTTGATCATTTTAAAGTGTGCCCAGTAACATCTTCCTTCCATTTCAAAAAAAAAAAAAAATTCCTTCCATTTCATAAGATGGGCTAGTAGAAAACATCTCATTCATCACATAAAACAGTGTAGGCAACACCAACAGTAGAGTGATGGTGATATATCAAATGGCTAGGGGGAAAAAATAAAAAGAAATCAGGAACGTTGAAAGTAACTTATGAGAGTTTGTATATATTTGCAGAAATATATATATATATATATATATATAATTACACATAAATGATTGTTAGAAAAAAAAAATATTTACAAAAAGTGATAAATATTAATAATTAAAATTACAAACTTTTTCACTAATATATAATAATTTTAAAAAAAAACCTCTTAAATTGTAA